TGATGCAGGAGTGGCTGGAACAGAAAGCCAATTAGCAGAAAGCCCAAACGACACAAAATTCACCATCTGACTCTCAAGACAAACTTTTCCAGAACGTTATAACGATATGCAGAATTCACTACAGAAGTTGTGAAGCATTCACCAAGGATCTATTTTTTTCCAGTACTATTGTAAACTTCATAATCAGGAGAAAGAGTAGGAATGGGAAAAAGAGGGAGGAAATGAGGGAGGGAGAGAGGAAGGGAAGGAGGGAGGGAGAGAGGGAGGGAGGGAGGGAAAATGGCTGAGCTCTGGGAAAAGCTGATTGGCAGTCTTTAGGTTTGAGTCTCATTAAAGAGAGCTCAGCACCACGGACAGCCACCCATGGTACCTCCTACTGTAATGAGCCTTTCCACCGGAATCTTACAAGCATCTTTCAGGCAAATGCACTCTCTTGTAACCTATAAAGTCATCATGTTCTCAGATCACCAGCCAGTTTGTCCCTCTGGGAGGAGAGCTATATTTGCCTTGTTGACACACTTAGCAAACCACTGTGACAACTGTAATCTCCCCCAAAAGGAATCCATTTCTTAGTTCTTTCGGAAGAAGGGGCAGGATTCATGTACCCTGGAGTCTGTGTCAAAGCAGAATGACAGGGCACCCACAGAGATTGACCCAGGCCACCTATGAATGTCCCCACTGTTGTAGTAACACTCTGTCACCTCACAAGTCTACCAGTGTCTCTCTTGGGAGATAAAAGCCCCCTTTGGATCTTCTGACAGGAAGTGCTCTACAGATGCTCAGGGAAACACTTAGAAGAGACTTTATAGATGGAATCTTGCTTCAAGATACCCCATTTCCTGGAAGGTTCACTCACTTCTCCACCTGATGTTACCCATGCTAGGTTGGCCCCGGACCAGTGACTTGGATGTCACCCATTTCTGATTTGTTTTTGCATAAAACAGATGAAAGGTATGGGAGCCAGTGATGCCTCAGGCCAGAACAAAAGCATTGGAAGTTTTATATTGTTTAGAGCTACAAACCAGGGAAGGAGCTCAGGGATCAGGAGAGGAAGGATCTGGGTCGCCACAAAAGTGGAGGTGTAGTTTTGAATGCTTTAAGAAGTTGGGAGTCTGAGGATGGGGAGATGGCTCAGCAGTTACAATCACTATCTGCTCTTGCAGAAGACCCGGATTCGATTCCCAGCACCCACATGGCAGCTAACAACTGTCTGTAACTCCAGTTCCAGGGGATCTGATAGCCTCTTCTGTCCTCTGCGGGCATTGCACAACACGGGTGCACTTACAACACATGCAGGCAATACACGCAGACACATAAAATAAAAATAGTAAATAAAATAAAAAAACAAGTCATGGAGTCTGCAACACTGTGAGAGTGCATCCCCAATTGGGAGGCACCACAGCATTGGAAAGGTGAGCCTGCCAAATCTCCAGAGACCACATCCAGACTTCTGCACGTTCAGTGTCCTTTGCTTAGATGTTTTTTTTCAGGTTCCTTGCCGACTTGCCTGAAGTCTGGCTATCCTTCCCTTCTCCACCAGGCAAAATCTTGTCCATCGTTTGAGGCCCTCACTGAAACTCCCCTCTTCTTTGGTGCCTCCACAGTGTTCTGTTGAGCCACTTCTGCTATCTGTGCCTCAGTTTCCATAAGTGTAAAATGGAAACAGATGAAGGAGGTATTTCCAGTGAGGCATTTAATATATAGCTTTGGCTAGCTCTGGACTTCTGTTCCTGCCTAAACACTGGGTTCCTGGTCCCTGGGACTCTACTCAGAAGGAGGTTTGGATTAAATGCCCCTTTGGCTCCTGTAGGCAGCTCCTGAAGGCCTCCATGCATACCCTCATGACCAAACCAACCCTTCTGGCATCCAGGATGCTGCTTATGGATGGTGGCTTCCTCAGGGGAGGGGCTATATATGTCCTCCACTCTGCCTCCTTATATCAAGTCTGTGTGGGAGCTTACAAGGGCCTTCCTTCACCTGAAAGGAACCTGTCACCTCTTCATATGCACATTGTCAGTTGGGAGCCCAGCAGGAGCCTCAACTGGACATCTGGTCAGCCTGTCTTTTTACACTACCTCCATTCTAGACTCAGGAGAAGTGGCCTTGAAGTTCATAGTAAGCCTTGGGTTTTCCTTTAGAGTCCCCAGTGGAAGTTTCCAGGCTTCATTCACATCTTGCAGTGACAACTAAGAGCAGCTCTGGTGTCCTTAGAGAATCCAAAATTTCACTTTCGGTAGAAATGTTGTCATCTCCTCTTGGGCATAACACGAAGATGCTTTTCTCAGGTAGTACAGTAGCCTGCCTAGGGGACTTCTATCCAACAGATGGGCAGGCTGAAGGGGACAGCCAAATCCCTGCTCACCCCAGCAGCTGCTCTCCAGCATGCTTAAAAACCACCACACATAACAGACCCCATCCATCTGTGTATGTTACACATGTGGGCTAATTGAGAAGTCTTTGATGAAAGTGTTATCTCTCTCTCTCACTCTCTCTCACTCTCTCTCACTCGCTCTTTCCACGCATGCGAGCATCTGTGTATATGAGAGTGTGAGAGCGAGAGCAAGTGTGTGTGTGGGAGAGAGAGAGAGAGAAAGCAGATGATTTTGTTGACAAGAAGAAAAATCAAATGTTTTCTCTACTCATCTCAGCTGTATCTGTAGCATATTCGCACAGCACCAGCATCATCTCTTCTAAGTGCCCTTGGTGCTCTGAGGCCATCCCTTCAGATGGTCAAAGTGTCACCATTATAATGACTTTTAAATATTGGCACAAAAGAGATCAGTCATGAAGACAATAAATTTGCCATCCAGTTAGAACCTCTTGACACCAGCTGTCAGACCCAAGCCCACTGTGTGGACTTTCTCCAGCTGATATTTCCCATCATCTCTGCACTTTGCTAGATGGGCCTTCAGACCTGACCTGAGGCTATGGAGGTGAGGTTCACTGTGAAACCAGCACATTTTCAGGTTGGTAGCTTGCTTAGCCCTGTCTATTTGCAGAGCAAAGCTCATATGGAGCTGCAAAGATCCAGGATCTCAAACACTGAGCACATTATCAAACAACGGATTTTTATAATAAAATCTGCAGAGAAGAGGCCCTTTCTCTGCAGACAGTGAGGGATGAAGTTCTTGACAAATACACTATGCAAAGGAGGTGCTCTGGACCAGCTGCCTGCTATGGCCTGGGAGCACATTAGAGGTGCAGAGCCTGGCTTAGTAGCTCAGACCTGTCATCGCAGCTACGCTAGAGACTGAGGCAGCAGGATTGCAAGTTCATGGATGTTTGGGCTACAGAGAAAGTTTAAGGCCAGCTTGGGGAATTTAGTAAGATATGGTCTTAAAGTAAAAAGTAAGAAAAGAGTAGGAGATGTATGAGATCCTGGATTCCGCTCCCCAGTGCTGCAAAAAACAAAACAAAAATAAAAAAGTCCCAAGGATATACAGTTTAACAAGGCTTCCTGGGAACCTCAGGCTTGTTGAAGTTGAGGAAGAAGAAGTGCACGTGTTTTTTTCTTGTCCCTGTGTGTGCTGACCAAGTGATTTTGATTTTTTTTTCTGTTCCCTTGCTGTACATGGGCTGGTGGCCAGTGAATGGCAATTACCCAAAAGACCACAAGGAAGGGAAATGAAGTCAGGCCTGACCTGGGCTTAGCACCTGGCCCTCAGCAGACTCCTGACAAACAGTTATTAGATGGTATTCAGCACTCCTTCCTCTGGAAGGGACAGTGTGGGACAATATCCACAGAGGAGCCTCCTGCCTCTCCTACCTCCTCCTCCTCTCCTCCATGAGGCTTTCCCAACAACTCAAGCCAGCTGGGAACACTCGTGAACCCTGGCAAACTCTCCAGAGCAGCAAAGACTGCACAGCTGCTAGAAGTTCCCCTGTGCACAAGTCTGTGACATTGAGAATGTTTTCTAACCTGCAGACAGGAATGAGCACCAGTAAACCCAGTGCCTCTAGCTTACTTTCTTCTTCCCTCCTCCTCCCCTCCCTCCTCCCCTCCCTCTGGTGCTAAAGTCACCAAGTCCCACCTACTGTGCAGAATTGAAGCGGACACACCTGCAAAACACACACACACACTCACGCTTACACACACGCGGTGCTGAAGGAAGGAGGAGGAAGATGCAGTCGGAGCTGCAGCAGCCGCCGCGAATGGCTCGCTGCGCGCCTGCAGAAATGTACAAGTGCTCCGAGCCTTACGAAACGCACGGGTTATCCGAGCGTCTTCCTCGGCATCCTCCCTCCCTCCTCCCCTCCCTCCTCCCCTCCCTCCCTTTCTTCTTTCCTTTCTTCTTACTTTATGGTACAGGATACTGAACTCAGGGCCTTGTGCATGGCAGGCAAGCTCTCTACCATTGAGCTACACCCCGGATCTACCTTCCCTTAAAAAACGTTTTTTGAGTCAGTAGCTCATAAAGTTGTGCAGGTTGCCTCAAACTTCCTCTGTAGCCTAAGCAGGCATTGAAGTTGGGATCCCCCTGCCTCAGCCTCCCCAGTAGCCAGGATGACAGGCTTGTGCCCACCATGTCTGGCTTTCCTTGTGCCTGTTTCAGGGTCAACGTGAGGATGACATGTACTATGTAAGGTGCTCGGAAAAGGACAGGAGATTTGGTGTTCCCGTGGTCTTGGTTATCGCCATGGACACAGACAGTGGAGATGGTCTCCTCTTGGAAGAGCAGGAAGGGCAGGGAGTTCAGGCTGAACTCAGTTTCAGGAGGAGGGAGATGGTTGGCCGTGAGGGTAGCCACACATCCAGGTGAGCAGAGCAAACAGGGAGGAAGGAATATACAGAGTGACTAGAGCGAAGGCTAGGGTGGGAGGTGAAGCTGGGGCACACCCACATTACCTTGGAATGATGGGGGTCCATAGAAGGTGCTGGGCAGACACTGAGGATGAATGGGAATGAGACCTTAAGGGACCCTCCCCCCAACTCGGCAGGTGAGGGCCAAAGCCAGCACTGGCAGGGTGCTGCAGCCGAGGGGCACGACTAACTCACGTACACCTGCGTGCGGACTCCTGGGCCAGCTGCAGCCGGTAGACTGAAAGGCGGTTGATGCCCCCACACACACTGCCCCTCTCTCCCTTGCAGTCCATGTCACACTCTGCCTCGCTCACGTTGGCTGCCTGGATCTTGTGGCCGCAGTAGCACTCAGCTCCGAACTCCAGCCCAGCATACAGGTAACCCCTGGGAAAGGCTGCTGTCAGTCAGGGAAGCATTGTCCAGGGAGACCCCAGGGTATAGGAGATTCACTAGGAGAGACCCCAGACATCAGGGCCAGGGAGACCCCAGGGGACAGGAGATTCACTAGGAGAGATCCCAGACATCAGGGCCAGGGAGACTCCAGGGGACAGGAGACTCACAAGAAGAGACCCTAGACATCAGGACCAGGGAGACCCCAGGGCATAGGAGACTCATAGGGAAAGACCCCAGACATCAGGGACAGGGAGACCACAGGGAACAGGAGACTCACAAGGAAAGATCTCACACATCAAGGTCAAGGAGACCCCAGGGAACAGAAGACTCACAAGGAAAGACCTCAGACATCAGGGTCAGAGAGATTCCAGGGGACAGGAGACTAGACACACAGTTTTCAGAAGGCCCAATGAATGAGGAGCACAGGCGATTCCAGAAAGGGGACAAAGGAGCTGGAGTGGAGAGTAGGGAGTTTGGAGGAGGCCTAGAGGTCAGGCCTGCTGGGGGTTACAGAGGCTGAGGAGTTAGAGAACCCTGGGGGTGTGGGAAGAAGGAATTCAGGAGCCCTGGGAATATGTAGAACATCCTGGGGACACGGAGCTTCCCACATCACTGACTAAGGTGCTGTATCTCTGGACTACCCACCCATGGCCATATTGACAGTCACTCCACACAGCATACCTGTCTCTTTCTCACAGCCCATATCCTGAAGTACCCTGCTCCACCCTTCTCTGCTCCTCTGTCACCTCCACAGAGCCCAGTCTCTCTGTCCTAGGAAACATCACTCAGGTGACACCTTGTCTCCAGATCCCCTGAGAAGAGCTGGGGTAGGGAGAGGAGGTACAGTACTTGCATCCCTTCCAAAGGTGGCAATACCAAGCTCACATACCCAGCCAAGTAAAAAATTCCTTCCCTGAAAACCAAACAAAGCAAAATTCCAGGCACTGTGAGGTTGTGCTATTTTTTTTTCCCTAGCCATGGAATCCTTCCCTAAAAAGGCTGTTCAGTGGACACGAGTCTAAACAGACAAAAGGAGTGTTGCTGACTCTGGCTAGGGATGGGGAGGGGGGCAAGCCTGCCAGCCCACCGTGCTCCCTGAGACAGTCTCCAGGGCCGCAAGGGCTCCTTGGAGAACAGTCTGCAAAACTCACCAAGGAGGTGCTGCTCATGGGAACTGTCACTCCTGGCTCCCTGCATGACACCGGCTGGATGGGCACACCTACCCAGACTTGTGTCTACATATGCCCTGGTGACTTGGGTGGCATGAGGCCTTACCACATCTACCTGCTCTTCCCACCAGATGGGGCAAGAGTGGATTATATGACCAAGCATCTCAGAGCCTGGCGCACAACCGCACAACCAAACTCCCACAGACTACCTCTGGAACAATCATGTCCCTTCACATTCATGTCTGCACACATACGTGCACATGTGCACATTCATGCTCACAAATACACACTTGTACACACATACACATACATACAAACACACATGAACACAAAGGCGTGCATCCCCGCACACATGTGCATCCTTGCAACGTCCTTTCCTGTGGTCCCTTGTTCATGCTCTCATTTTCCCTCCACGGCAAGACAAAGAACATTATGGAAGAGACCCAGGGAGGGAAGGGGTTAGGGACGTCAGGTCCTACCGTTCAGCACAGTTGTCCTGGCAACGGAAAACCGTCATCTTTTTGTAGTCAAAAAAGGACACGCCTCGCAGGGCCCGACTCTGGGTGTCGTCCAGGTAGCAGCCGATGTATTTGGCTTTAGGGAAAGAGGAAAAGACAGGTGTGACTGTGGACAAAGCCTGGAGGACCTCAGGAGGAAGTTCCTGTGTGCCTCTGGTTGTGTGGCATTGCTGAAGGAGTCCTTCCTCTGGGCACAAACAAGAGATGGGAAATGCTGGGCCCTAGCTGAACCTGGTCTGATCATGGCAGTGGGGACCAATGGGTAGGGCTGCAGGCTCTAGAAATAGCAGGAGGCAGGAAGGACTCACTTCCCTGGACAGGGCCACAAGCCAAGCCCAGGGTTTCCTGGTAACACTGGACCCCAAGGCCACTCCTAAGTCCAGAGGCCGTAAGGGGCCTGGCATCCTGTTTCCTTTCTATAGCCTCTCTACACACTTGCCTTGGATGGCTCAAGGTCTAAGTCTTCACTCCACTCTCTTACCCCCTGGCACTGGCCTATGGAGCTTAGGCAGCTCGACCTTTGGGAGGCCTTGCATTCCTTGTAGTGGGCCAGGAAACCACCAATCCAGTGGAGTGGAAGGACTTGTGTTATAATGCTTCTATTATATTGTCCTGTATGTGATAGCTGCAAAATTATAGTGAGTAAAATAAGAAATTCATTCATAGTCCTGGGTAAGTACTTTACTCTGGTGGGCCAAGGTGAATATTTTTATTGAAAGAATACTTTCAAATGATGTATAACAACTTTCCAGTTACTAACACTGTAAACATTTTACTTTATGGCAAATAAGCACTCTCATACACAGACAGTACATTACAGTTTGTGTAAAGTTTTTTTCTCATTTTTTCTTAACATTGTTATTATCTGGATATGCTATTCAGTAAGCGCTTTATACACACCACTCACTGAATCCTCACAATGGCCTTGTAAAAATATCATCTCAGCACACCAAGACCCAGAGAGGTTGTCCCTTGCTCAAGGTAGCACAGCTTGTTTGTATAAAATCTGAATTGGACCCACATAGTCTAGCTCCAGGTCCATCTGGGCTCTTTAGGATGTGCCAATATACTAGGAAGATAGGCTCTTACAGAGGCACAAAGGAGAAACACAGTTCTATGGGACCCCCACACTGACTCTTCTGTCCCATCACATGAAAGTGACCAGATCCACCCAGCCCCCAGGATTAAATGGCCCTTCCAGGGAATGGCAGAGGAAAACCTCAATGCCATTTAACACTTCCCTTAGGGAGGTGGCTGTTCAAGTTAAACAGGAGTCCCCTCTTCCCTTCCCTGTAGTGGGGAGCAGGGCCTGGCAAAGGCTGCTCCACCAAGTGTGGGCATTTGTCAGCTGCCCTGGAGACCAGCTTCCATCTTGGCTACTTGGTCTCCCTTCACATGATAGGGGTGAACAGCTCTGCTGAGAACAGTTTGGCTTTAAAGGAGGCACCCCCGCCCCCTCCCTGCCAGTGAGCCCATGACTGGTGACAGCTCTGGGGGGGCCTGTTTGCCTTTGTGCTTGCTAGACATCATTAGCCCCTTGAGTTTCAAATGGAATCTCAGCTGGCAGAATGCTGCTCCACCCCATCTGGCATAGGCATGCCCAGCACTAAGCTTGGGCTACTAAATGCTGCATAACTCCTTCCAGCATTCCCCAAGGACCAAGAGGGCCCATAGCACAGGTGAACTCAGATCTGTTGAATGGACACTTGACTCTGTTTCCTCCTCTGTCAATAGGAGGGAGATGCAAGGTCCTTGCCATACTTTGGAAGACATGGGTGTGTCACACATCACTGCTCAGTGAAGTCCATGTCAGGACACACACTCTGTGTCAGTTCCAGTTCCCTCCCTCCTCTGAGCAGAACCTGGTGGCTCCCTCTCTGCCAGCCTCTGCTGGTCCATGTTCCTGGAGCTTTGTGACACTCCCAAGCTGGAGCTCAGCTTTGTGTCAACCACAGGAGCCCTCCACAGACACTTTCCCAGTCCTTAAATTCTGTTGTGGTGACAGAATCTCTTGGAGGCAGGGGAAGGTCAGGTATGTAAAACAGGGACCAAATCACAGGCCACATGAGAGGGGTTTGATAACTAGGACTACACTATTCATCAGCATCTCCATGGTGACCCAGAGGCTGCTGGCATGGCTAAGGCCCAGGCTGGGCGATTTATCTCCAGTTTAGAATGCAGCATCCCAGAGCCTCTCCTGCTACATGGAATTTTCCTTTCTTGTACTTTTTTCTATTCCCATTATTTTTTTTAATGCAATCTCCCTTTCTCGGGTGAAGGTGATTTGTTAAGTGGATGGCTGCACAAAGTGGATTTGTACACTTATTTACTATTTGTGAACAGACTTCCAAGGTGTCCCACTGTACTGATATCAACCAGATCTTGGTTCAGACCCTAAGACCAGCTTTGCTGTAGCCTAGATATGGATCCAGAGGTCTTGGAAGCATGATTTTCCACCTAACAATTATTAACACCAAGATGCTGCTGCTCCATGATTAATAATCAAGGCTTTGGGCTCTAAAAGAGCTGGATGGAATCTGCTCTGTTTCTGAGCTGCTGTGTGACACTGGGCAAGTTGCTTAACCTCTCTGAGGTTTTGGTTCTCCATGTGTGAAATGAGACACAGTAATTCTTACATAAAGTGATGCATACACACTCTCTGACACTGAGCAGACTCTCAACCTGCAGCCATTGCCTCTTCTGCTAGAGAAGATGGGGGAGTGGACACCCCTGCTGTTCCTCCCTGTGTTCCTCCCTCATGTCCATTTCAAGCCTTCTTGATGGAGACAGAAACAGAGCAAGTTTTGAAGTTAAACTGGGCCTTGCTCCTGGTTCTACCCAGAGCAGCTGTGTGACCTTAGATAATCCTTGTGGTCTCTGTGCAGTTTCTTCCTGCAAAGTTGGAGTGTTAATTTTTAACATCTGGCACACAGCAAAAGCTCATGTGCACAAGGCTGGAGCAAGTGCTCTCTGTGAGGTGGTATGTGCTTAAGGTTCAGATTCAAATTTATCTTCCCTTCCTCTTCCAGCTGCAGAACCTCAGGGAAGTGGCTTAAGCTCTCTGTGCCTGAGTCTTTTCCCGGGTAGATAGTAAGGCTACTTACTGGATTGCTGTGGAGGTTATGGGCAGCAATACGGACACACTGTTCCAGGCAGTGCTGGTGTGACTTGTGTGAACATCACCACATCCCTCTGGTGTGGAGTGACCAGCATGGAAAGAAGGATCACTGGTTTCAGAAATCAATGATTTTAAACCTCAGTCCCTGAGCCCTCCCCATCTACCTTTGTAAGCCAGGACAAGCCATCACTCTCTGAACGCAAGCTTACCATGCACAACAATGGACCCAAATGGTCTCTGATTCATTGAGCTGTGCTGATTAAACAAGGCAGTGAATCTCTTATAATGTGTTCTGGCCCACAGTGATCACCCACTAGGTAACAGCTGTTGCTAATAAGGAAAGTAACTGAGTGACCTATTACTATGAACCAAGGATGGAACAGGCCTTTGCATAGATGACTCCATCTTAAACCATGATGAGTAAACAGAGAGCACGGAGCAGGTCACTATCAGCAGCAATAGTGGCTATCCCGTGGTCCTTCAGTATCACTCGGTGATGGGTTCCAACATCCCTTGTGACTCAAAACCTGAGGATGCTTGGGCCACTTGTATGAAACTGTAGTATCTGCACGGAGCTCAACCATCCTCATATTCTGAAATCCCCTTTGGATGGCTTCTAGCCCCTAGTGCAATGTGGATGCTGTAGAACTGCAAGAGGAAGGACTTGTATGTTCACCACAGATGTATTTCTTCTTGAGTATATTCTGTTGATGGAATTTGAGGGTACAGAGCCCTCAGTATGGAAGGATGACTGCATTTGATTTTCACAACGCACAGGGACACATGAGCTCCTGTCTGTGTAGGGGATCCCGGCCCGACACAGAGCAGAGAGGGAGCCTTCGAGCGGACCTGGAAGGGGCAGTGTTCTGAAGGTGAGCAAAGTTGAGACTTGGAGGAGGAGTGGAGTAACCCTGGGAAGTCTTCCAGTGGAGGGAGAGTCTCACTCATGTACCTATCCAGTCTCTTGTCCAGCCATCCATCAGGTACAGGCAGGAGCAGTAGCCGTGCACCTGGCGCTGTCCCTGGTGCTGACAGGTTGAGTTGACCTGGATGGAAACACCCATACCTTCCAGGACAAGGGAGTGCACCAGGAGAGGCAGGTGGGATGCAAAGATGCAGGCACTCAGTAGGATAACTTCAGATGGTGATGGCACTACAACAGAATAAGGCTGGGAGTGTGGTTGTGACAAGGTACAGAGTGGGACCAGTTACAGCACTCTGAGAAGCATCTATGGGAAGGAAGGGGGTGAGTAGCAACTCAAAGGGAAGGAAGAGGGGAGACATGCAGAGATGCAGGAGGAGAGTATCCCAGGTGGGAGGGACTGGCTGCACATACAGAGAACCTGGGGCAGGAAGGGCCTGGGGTGTGCTAGGAACATCAATCAGGACCATGGGACAGAGTGTGCTGAGGGCCTGGGGAGTTGTCACAAGAGAGGAACTGAGTGCATCTCTTTAGGAGTAGGCTAGTAGGAACTTGGAGCTTTCAAAGGGCCTGATGGTGTGTGGAATAGCCAGAGTGAGACGGAGTTTGAAGGGAGATGGTGGAAAGAGAAGCCATCCTAATTCTCTTAACAGACCAGCTCCTCAGACCTCCCCATGCCTGAGAGATGACAGCTTCCCCAGGTGGATTCTGCAGGCACTTCCTAAACTTACTAACCGCCCACTCTGTGCCAGCCACATGCTTGGTTTGTCTGACCTTTGTTCCACTTGACTGCCTGGAAAGAAGCCATTGTTAGGCCCATGTAACAGGCACGAAAACAGGCAGGGAAGCTAACTCCATTGCCTGGACCACACAGCTGGCTGAGGTGGAACTGGAATCCAAGTCCAAGCCCCACCCTGTTTTGCTTCTTCACTGCCTTGTGAACGCTGGGCTCTTAAGCAGTCAGAAATTCCAGAAACCTCGAAGGTGCTGAGTTAGGTCTTCTGAAGAAATTTGAAGACAGGTTTAGGCTGGGACTGGGACAGGGACATCTGCCTCCAGCAGTCCTCTGTGAATCCTGTGCCTTCCCATGGTAGAGAAAGGTTTCCTGTGAGCTGAGCCACAGTGGAGGGCACAAAGACTCATGAGATTTCCCTCTGCCTGACTGGGGACTGCTCCTCCTGCCCTCTTGGCCTGGGATCCCCACACATCCACCCATAATAATTTCATGACTTGCGGCTATGGGTTTTTCTCCAGCCTGCTGGTCACATGGGCAGCTGCCAGCAGAGTTAGGGACACCATCAGAGAGACAGAGAGCCAAGCAGCCTTTCCAGCCTCAGCTTCTACATCTGCTTTTGTTTCTGTTCTGTTGTTGTGTGTTGTGTTTGAGACAGATATCTCTAGCCTGGTCTGGTTTCCAGCTTGCTTTGTAACTGAGGATGATCTTGAACCTCTGATTCTCCTGCTTCTACCTCCCAAGTACAGGATTATAGCCTGGCCTGCTATATATGGGGATCAAGCCCAGGCCTCCGTGCATGCCGGGGACTACTCTACCAACTGAGCTATTAATAGATTCCTCAACCCTCCACATCTGGTAAACAGGCACGGACTCCTCCCTGCCTGTTCAAGTCTGTGAAAAGCGCTACTAATCAGAATCCTTTTTGTGCATAAAAGGGTAAGTGAATTAACACAATAGGCCAGGACAGCGCTGTTTTTCCTGGAGCACATCATTGGATGGGGAGTTCTTTGTTTTGCCACTTAGTCGCCATTTAATCCTGGGTTCTTGGGGTCTTTTTTCTTTGAAGACAAGGTCTCATTATGTAGCCCAGGCTGGCCTCCAATGCCTCCTGCACCACCCTGCCCCTGTGGTTTCCTCACCTTTAAAACAGAAACAACAGTGACCCTGCTTAGTACTATGGTGACCATTTAGTACATGTAAAGTGCTCACCACAATGCCTGGGACATGCAGCCCTCAGAAAATGTTGTATTTAACAAGCAATATAAATGGTCACAGGGCTTGTAAATCAAGCCTTGAATCCTGACAAGCGTGGGGATCAAATACAAACAGCAATTGACAAGTTGTATGATCTTATGCAAACTACTTAATGTCTTTGAATTCCAGTTTCTTCCTCTGTGCAAGGTGGCTCTTAGTGCAGTTTCCTCTGTACATGAGGCTGGAACGCTACGACAGCTGGTTCCTGTTACATGCTGAAGTTGTTGGCTGTTATTTTTGTATTTCAGTATTCCTCTCCCTTCCCTTAGTGCCCGCCCCCATACACACACACCAGGCCTATTACCTCGCTCCTCCTCCTTCTCCCGGACAACCCTCCCCTTGAGGGCTCTGCTCCAGGCTCCCCCGTAGTCACCCAGCTTGGCTCTCTCACTGGTGTCCTTGCCCTTGAATGAGGGTCCATACCTACGGGCGATGCTGGAGGCCTCCCCTGTGTCCCGGAAGCCTCTGCCCAGGTGTAAATCAGCCAGGAAAGGCAGTTCAGCACCTTCAGCTGGGCTCCCCATGGCAGGGCTAGCCTGGTTCTGGGGAACAGCAGGCTGGCCCACAAAACCTGAGTGCAGAAAGACGAGGCTCCCAGCGGTCAGGTAGAGAGCCAGGAAGGTAAAGAAGCGCACGGGCTTCCTGCGGAAGTACCGCTGGAACTTGAACCAGAGTTTGGCCATAGCGGGATCATTCCGGAAGGGCTCTCAGGGCTGGGCTAACAGGCTGAGGAGGGGCACAGAAGGCTTGATTTCCCAGATCTCCTTAGGGATGGAATGCTGGGGCATGGCAGTCTGAATCCCTTTGCAGAGATTACTGAGGCCAGAGGGGAAGGGCAAGCCCACAGCTTGGCTAAGGCCAAGAGAGAAGACAGAAGTCACTGGACTCCCAAGGTCAAGGTGGGGCAATGAAAAGTGGCAATGAAAGGGGACCTACAGGAGGTGGTCCCATTTTCCTACATTTTGTTCTTCAGCCCAGAGCATTCTCAGAGAACTTCAATGACGGTGATTGAAGGGAGAGGGGTGATGTCCTAAGGTCCTCAGAGGCTGTAGGCCACTCCTGTCCTTTCTCAGCTTCTTAGGCTTCCTAAGACAGATTAGTTCACTGAGGAATTTGATGCTGGCCTCTCCTCCAGCTCCAATGCAGAACCAAGCTCTGAGTGTCACCTCCTGGGTGCTGGAGGGTCTCCACCTTGTCAAGCCTCAGGGCACAGAGCTACCACCTGCAAAACAGCAATAGACACAGGCATGAGGGAGTCCTTCCCCAAGCACAGAATGTAAAGGGGTTTTGAGCACCCACAAGGGAGAAGCAGAAGCCAATAAGAGCAAGAGAAAGCATTTTGGAAGAAGGGCTTCAGGGGTGCCCCAAGTGGGGGGCTTCCAGAACCCTGCTGTCACTTTCATCCACACTGGAAATGGGGTGCTTCAATCCTTCTGGGTCCTAGATTAGGGACAAACTTTATCTCAGCCAAACACAAGTTCTCAAGAATTGGGGGTATACAATTGCCCTCAGTATCCAAGGGAATCAGTCCCAGAAGGCTCAAATCCCCTATTTATAATGGCACTGCATTTGCATAGAACCTGTACACATCCTCCTGTGGGCTTTAAAATAACCTAGATACCCTTGAACACCTAACACAATGCCAGCGCCCTGTGAACTGTTGTTATTCTATACAGTAAGTAAATGGCAAGGGAAAACATTTATACACATGTTCATTACAGAGGCAGTGTGTGTGTGTGTGTGTGTGTGTGTGTGTGTGTCTGTACGTCAGAGGTCGATGCTGGGTAACACCCTCAGTCACTCTCCACTCTCCAGGCAGAGTCCCTCCTTGAAGCTGGAAGCTAGGTGGCTGGGTAGCACCGCTCCAGGGATCCTTTGGTCTCTTCCCAGTGCTGGCTTACAGGAACATGCCACCATGCCTGGTTTTTCATGTGGGTCCTGGGGCTCTGAACTCAAGGCTTCACGTTTGTGTGGCAAATTCCTTACTGACTGAACCACTTCCCCAACCCCATACAATGTTTTCTTTTTCTCCTGTTTTTCTGCCCGTAGTTGGTTGAATTTGTGGATGCAGAACTCACTGGTGGGGAAGGCCAGAGCTGCTTTGCTCACACTTTCTATGCACTTGTCAAACATGCACAGATTCGTGGGTTCCCTTAAGTCCAAAGAATACCTCAGAGGCTTTGCTGAGCTACCTGCTAGGTCAGGTAGATTTTGAATCTACCCAAATTCATTCCCTTTCTCCAACTATGTCCCAGGCATTGTCCCAGGCTGCAGCTGAGAGGCAGAGATAAAATGCTTCCTCCCAAGGGTTCATACTCTAATGCAGAAACCAAATCCATAGGCCCTCATCTCTGTCTAAGGGAGAAACAAGAAGGGGGTGGGGAGCAAGGTTGCTAAGCAACACATCCATGTGTTCAGTATTTGCTGAGGGCCTCCTGAGTGCCCAGCACAGTACTGAGACCTCTCCCTGGATTGTCTTATCTAATCTCCTGTAGGGGTAACAGTCTCCCTATGTTATAGATGAGGAAATTGAGGTAAGAAAGGGTGAGTGGTAGTTTTGTGATTTGAAGCCAGCATGGTCCCATGTCTGCACCACAGTTTGTTTTTTTAAGACAGGGTCTCATGTAACCCAGGCTAGTCTAAAACTTGTTACATAGCTGAAGCTGGCCTTGAACTCCTGTTCCTCCTGCTTCCACCTCCTACACACAGCGATTACAGGAAGGGATCATCTCACCCAGCCAAACCATAGCTCTTAGCAGCTATATTTCAGACTCTTCCCGCACACACTCTGGACACCACTTGAGAATTCAGAGACTGCCCCAAAGCAGGAGCCCATTTCCATGGTGGCTTCCCTTGGTCAGGGCCTCGCCAACGATGGCTGGCTGAGAGGCTGATTGTAAATCCCCTCGGAGCATCTCTGATCGAGGGGGAAGCTTGAAGGTGTCACAAAGTGGCTTCAAAAAGTGTTAATGGGCACAAAGCGTCAAGAATCCCTGCATCACAACTGTCAGCCAGGAGGGCAATGCTGTTTCATATTACCACCAGAAGGGGGCGAAAGGATGTTCTCAGCTGATGTAATGGGATTCACTTGTCCACCACCCATGGAAACCGCACTGTGAGAAACAGCAGCAGCATAGGAGTTTCACTGTGGTTAGGGTGGAGTCTGCCATCCCATTGAGTCAGAAACTGAGCACCTCCTTTGTACCAACCACATCCTAGGCATTTGGAATTGATAGTTGAACAAAACATAAAAATCCATGCACTTGTGGTATCAAACAGCTATCAGTCCAACTACCCACCCATCTACCCATCCATCCACCCACCCACCCATTCATCTATCCATCCATCTCTGCATCCATTCACCCATCTATCCATTCACGCACTCATCCATCTATCCATTCATCCATCCACCCATTCAACCACCCATCCATCTACCCCCCCACCCCCCCCCCCCCCCCACCCCCCCTCCCCCCCCTCCCCCCCCAACCACTACACTTTTTTTCACTACCACAGAGCTCAGTAAAGTTCCACTGTGCAAGCCTGAGGCTCTGAGTTTGATCCCCAGCACATGTGTGTAAGAACAGCATGGTGGCACACACCTGTGGTCTCAGCACTGAGGGGAAGGAGACAGGGAGATCTCTAGGGCTTGCTGGTTAGCCAACCTAGCCTTTGTGGAGAGTCCCAGGCTGATGAGAGATCCTGTCTCAAAAACCAAGCCTAATGGCTCCTAAGGCATGGTACCCAAGGTTGTCCTCTGGCCATAGGCATGTGCACACATGTGCATGCATAGTCACAAACACATATGAACTCACCATGAAGATGCACACACATGCACACACAGACCAGTGCATATACAGAAAACATATAACAAAGAATGGAGGTGGGCTGTGGTAAGCCTGTCTCCAGCTTTGTATAGAACCAAGATTCATGGGTGGTAAGGAGCAGGGTCTCATCAGGGCCTTCACCAACACTATAACAGCCACCACAGAAGGAACATGCACCAGGAGGTGGGAGGGGAGCCCAGAGGGCCACAGCACAGCTATCTACCACCAAAAGCTTAGACTGAAAAACCCACAGTAAACCCCACTTTCCACACTTTATAAGTTTCCCTCACAACCTAGGAGTAACTTTTAGAAATGCATCGTTCTGTTGGTGAACATGCACTTATCTGAAGTCAGGGATTCCTTCTGCTTCTCATTTTCTTTATTAAGAACAACGAATAATTCAAAAGTCACAGGTAGCATAGGAAACCAAGCTTGATAGTGTCTGATGACATGTATCCATCTGCCCACTTGACCCTCTATCCAATCCTTCATCTGCGTATTCACACACACACACACACACACACACACACACACACACACACACACACGTCTATCCATCCACCCACCTGCCTGCCCATCATGTATTTACCCATCCATTCATCCACCCATCCATCCATCCATCCACCCATACATCCATCTGTCATACTGTTATCTTCCACAAGTCTACCTAGCCATCCATTCATCCATTCATTCATCCAAACTGTAGTAGCTCATCCATCCAACTCTCCACTCACCTAGGTGCCTACTCATTCTTCCATTCATCTAAAAATAGGACCAGAGATGGCTCATCAGGCAGACACTTGCTACCAAACCTGATGACCTAAGTTTGATCCCCAGGAACCCACATGAAGGAGAGAACCAACTCCTGAAAGTTGTCCTCTGACTTCCGCATGCATGCTGTGGCATATACACAAATTAATAATTAACAAATAAATATAATTACGAACTCTAAAAACATATGGTCATTGTGGAAAACATGTTCTAGGAATGCAAGAATAAATAATTCATGTTCTGCTCTCAGAGAGCTCCGAGTCAACCAAGAGAGAAAGTAATTAGACAGCAACTATCCTTGCTAGACAATGACAAATCCTGTGGTAGTGTGTGTGTGTGTGTGTGTGTGTGTGTGTGTGTGTGTAAAATGCACGATATAGTACAGCAAGTCATGTTAATAGTAGACTTCATGTGTCTTTCTATACAATACGAACTCTGCTTTGATTCTCATAGCAATTCTACAAGGAAATCCTACGTCATTTTACAGGGTTGACAAATGAGTATTGTGAGAAATTAGATAATTTGTTCTGAGACACACCACAGCAGACAAATGGAAGCCGGGTTGTGAGTCTAGGACCAGCTGGCTTCAGGACCATGAACCACACATCTTTCCTGTCTTGCATTGCTCTGGAATGATAACAGGTGGATGTGCAGAGGAAAATGCTTGCATTGAGCTCCCAGATTTGGGTGTAAAGTGCCAGGAGACTTGTGGATCCTGCTGAGAGTCCCAAGAGGTGGGAGCCTGGGATACTGAAGTATCTACAAATGCCTGGGGAGAAGCATAAAAGAGGGCTTCCCCAGGGAGCTGCTCTAGACCTGGCAGGTCTTGCAAAAGGAAATTCGCTCTCACGTGCATACACCCACAGCCCCCAGATACATACACATAATTTTTCTTAATCTTAAAAGAAAGGAAAAGTCTGATAAAAAGAACTGGAAACTCTGAGTCAAAGAACAGCAGAGCGGCTGAGGAGGAGGCGCCTGGCCTGGAGAGCCGCACACAGAGGGCGGAGCCAGACCACGGGAGTCTTGAATACCATGCTCCAATGGAACACATGGGAAAACACAGATTTCACAATCTCCCCATACTTTAATCTTTTTCTTTTCTTTTTGTTTTTTAGGCAAGGTCTCATGTAGCCCAGGCTGTCTCAAACTCACTGTGTAGCCAAAGATGACAATTCTCTTAGGCCATTCTGGTGACTCTTATCACATTGATGTCCTCCCTTATCAGTTAGAGTGTGAGTCCAGATAGATGTCTAAACCTCTCTGGGCTGCCATTTTCTATTATGTGAGTCAGTCACAGAAGAGGCAGTCCACAGGGCTGGGGTCCCCATTCATGGATGTGGGCTCTCACAATTCCTCTGTGTGGCATGAGACCCCTGGAGCCTCCATGTCCTCATCTGTGGAATGTGGACTCATGTCCTCCTGGGCAGATACCAGGTCAGGGTTCCCTTTGTGGAAGGGCAGCTTTCGGCCTTTGCAGTTGGTGTTTCCAACAGGCATCTCTGAGTGGCTGAATGCAACCTATTTTCAGCATCAGAACCAACTTAGGGGTTGAGCCGCCAAGCTAAAGACAGGTGGTAGAGTGGGGCTGCCCACAGGAAGGGAAACCAAGAGGCTGCCTACCCTG